AAAAACCCACATCGAAGCGTGGATCAAAGCATGAAGTCAAGCCAGTGAAGAAATCGAAGAAGGCCAAGGAGGACAGCTCCGATGATCTGGTCGGGTCGGATTCGAGCGAAGAGGAGAATGGCTTCTCGGGATTCTCTGCCGCCAAGGATGCGGATGTGGACATGAGCGATACGGAGAGCAGTGAAGACGTCGACATGGACGCATCTGAGTCCAATGGAAAGACGCAGAAAGAACACAAGGCCAAGAGCGACGCCTCAGAGTCGAAGCTGGCCAACTTGAATTGTATGCGCAACGGCCAGGTCTACTTGTTATTTTAACTAACCTACCACTAGCCAACAACTCACGAGAAGCGCACGCAAAACAAAAGGCGCTGGTGAAGGAACGGAAAGCCGCAAAGCCCAATGCCGACGTCATCGAGCGTTCGAAGAAGCTGTGGGAGAAGCTCAGGCTGAAGTCACATATCGAGAAGGAGGAGAGGAAGGAACTTGTCAGGGAGCTGTTCGAGATCATAACGGGCAGAGTCAAGGACTTTGTGTTCAAGCACGACTCCACCCGTGTCATCCAAACAGCAATCAAGTACTCGACCATGGAGCAGAGGCGCATGATCGCACGCGAGCTCAAGGGCGATCTGCGGACACTGGCGGAGGGCAAATACTCTAAGTTTCTGATCGCCAAACTGATCGAGAAGGGGTGAGTAATTTCTGGATGCTGGGGCTATATAAAATACTGACATCCTCTAGCGACCCCGAGATTCGTGACCTCGTTATTTCCGAGTTTTATGGTCACGTCAAGCGCATGATCAATCACCCAGAAGCCGCATGGATCCTCGACGATATATACCGACAAGTCGCGACACAAGACCAGAAGAACCGCCTTCTCCGCGAGTGGTACGGACCAGAATTCTCTATCAAGGGCCTCACAACACAAGGGACGGACAGTGCAGTCCTGTCTGATATACTGAGCGAGTCACCTGAGAAGAGGAAACCGATCCTAGGCTATATTGAGGGCCAGATCAACTCTCTCATCCAGAAGAAGCTCACTGGTTTCACTATGCTGCACGATGCTATGTTGCAATACTTCCTGGTCTGTGAGCCGGGTACCGAGCAGGCCAACGACTTTATGGAGCACCTTAAGCCTGATCCCACGCTGAAGGAGGGCGAAGAGGCCGATAATGTGGACTTGTTGAAGAATCTGGCCTTTACAAAATCAGGCTCGCGGTTAATGTCGCTCTGCTTCGCGTACGGCACAGCTAAAGACCGCAAGCTGTTTCTGCGGCCATACAAAGATACCATCGAGACCATGGCTTTCGATCAGCACGCTCATCATGTCCTCCTCGCTGCTATGGCGGTCACCGATGACACCAAACTCACATCCAAGTCTATCTTTGGCGAGCTGTTACCGAGCAACGACACTCTTGCTGAGAAGGTGTTGAATCTTTGCAACGATGCTCGCGCACGCACAGTGTTGTTGTACCCCTTCGCTGCGGATGCCAAGTGGTTTCTGGACGACAACGCGCGGGAAAGACTGACCGAACTTTATGCTATCCGCGAGACCACATCCAAGAAGGATCCAAACACCCGTCTTCAAGAGATCACCAAGAACATTGAACCTCAACTACTGAGCGCCATCACAGCCCGAGCTGCTGACTTCGCCTCATTCACTTTTGGTCTGCAATTCATGGGTGAGGTTCTCGTTGGAGCGCCAGAGGTTGAGCCAGCCAAGCGTAAGGAAGCGTTGACGGAGATTGCTCGTCTGTCACAATCGATTCTCGACTCTGCACTACCTGCCTCTGCCGGCGACAACAAGGCAACAAGCCATGGAAAGAATATGCTCAAAACTTTGGTACAGGGTGGAAAGTTTGACCCTGCAACCAAGAAGGTGGTACCCGTCACTCCGGCTCTTGGTTTTGCGGATTTGTTGTGGGATGAGATTAAAGGGAATGCGGTTGAGTGGGCCACTGGCCAAGGTTCGTTCGTCGTAGTAGCCTTGACCGAAGCCGAGGGCTTCGAGCGTAAATCAGAGGTACTGAAGGTGTTGAAGAAGGAGAAGAAGAAGCTGGAAACAGCTGCCAACCCCCCGGGAAGTGCAGACGCAGAGGCGAAGTCTAAGAAGCAAAAGAAGGGAGACAAGACGCCAGCCGGTCAAAGAGGCAACGCTGGTGCGAGGATTCTGCTTGAGAAGTTGTAGACTCAGGTTTCAATGTACAATTACAGTCGTTGATGGTGATTGCATATCCATAATAGTTCATGCGTTCTGTGCATCCGAAATCATCTTTGACATTGTTAGATTCCCAGAGTGAGGCATCAGATCGTGAATGAGAAGGAAAGGTCTACCTCGTGTTTGGTGTTTTCCTAATCCGGAAATATAGCCGCACGCCCAATGTACCTCACAGTATTTGACATCTTTCTTGTACTGGCGAATCCATCAACCGAGACATTCTCCCGCGCCTTCGAGAACATCGAGCTTTTGAGTGATCTGTACCTCGCAAAACAACGACATAGGACAACCCCCAACCTCCAAATCATTGAAAAGACTGCAGGAAGCCATATCACAGCACGCACCCAGGTACACGTCACCTACAACCCTCAACCCAGTCATTCAGGGTAGATACAAAATGTCAAAACCCTTCACCCTAGATCTCTCTTCCCTGCCCTCAACCTTCCAATCAACATGGCGTGCAAATCCCGACCCAACCGCCCTCCCCTTCCCCCGCTCCAAACCCCCCTTCGCACTCACCCCAATCGACTGGCACCAACTCTCCCTCAGCGACAGCGACTTCACACCACACTCCTGGCCAAACCTACAACACCTCATCTCGAATCACCAACTCGAAGAGCTGAAACGCTGGCCCAGCCAACTAAAAGCCTATCTAGCATGGACAGCGCACGTAAAAGAAAAATACGAAAGCGTACTAAGATATCTCCTCGAGCAGCGATTATTCTGGACGCCGTTGGCCACGCAGGATGGTGAGTTACGCTTCGAGGTTCAGAGTGAGACGGCATTTGCGCACGAGGAGGATTACAAGATTTTGAGGAATGATTGGGGGTATGCGTTTGAGCCTGGTGTGAGGCATATTGTTGTGTGGCTGAAGCAGCGGTTGCCGGTTGATGAGTTGGGTGCGTTGAGTGAAGAGGGGAGGGTGGTGGTAGAGGATTTTGTGAGGAGGGAGTTCAGGAAGAGGGTTGGGGAGGGTGAGCGAGGGGAGAAGGTGTTGTGGTTTAAGAATACGACGACGTTGCAGAGTGTGCGGAGTTTGGAGCATGTGCATGTTTTGGTCAGAGGGGTTGAAGAGGATTTGTTGGAGCGGTGGATGAAGTGATTTTTGGGGGATTGTAGCGTTGGATTGGGGGACTTATTGAAGTGGTGATTTGTGCGCAATGGGCTATTCTGTGGAGTGTTCTGCTAATCATTGGACTTCCAAATATTGGGCGGCTTTGGCACGTTGATATCCAAAGAATTCTCTCACAAACTCGCATGGGTAACTTGACAACGTACAAGTGATTTGCCAAAGATGATTAACGCCACATACTCACTCCTGATCAACTGAATTATTCTGTTAGTGCATGTTTATATCAATTTGCAACTCTTTCAGCTCATGATCTTGGATGAATTGTTTCATGCATATCTCGGGCCTACCACTATACGTAGTCTCTCCGAATGTTCTGCAGCAGGACTTAACATTTATTGGCAGGAGATCCAAATGAAGCCAAGGCTTTTGACAACACATTCGGATGGTCCGATGGTTCTGGCGCTTCATCGGTCTACGTTAAAGTCCATGAAGGATCAAATTCGGACCGAAAGTGGAACGTTTCATGTATATAATAGCTTCTGCCTTCTTTCAAAGGCGATCTACCTGTTCTTACTTGTTGTATACCTGCTCATCGCCGCTCGTTCACCATACCTAACTCTCCACCATGAGAATCACCTCAATCAGCATAGCCTATGCAGCATTACTTCCCGGTATACTTGCCATAGACTTCACAGGCTATGCTCCCCAAAAAGGTGTCCAGGCAGAGTTCAAGCCATTTCTCAAAGCGTAAGCCAACAAAGTTCACCCACCATGCCTATCTTACACCGCCACTAACAAATCCCGCAGACTCGTCACAGCTGCCGAAGATCCCCTTGCAACAAACGCATACACAGACTACTTCACCAAGGATGGCATGCAGACTACGCTTAGTATCCACTGTCCAGGTGCTGCAGCCATTGTGAGATGCAAGCAAGGCTTCTTGCCCCCCAATGGCAATTTGACGTTGATTGTAAACCTGCCTATCTATCATTAAGTATTCGAGTGTAGGCCTTTCTAACTGACTGTTGCTATAGCATTTCCCAACTACTGTTTCCATTTACGACAATAATGCCACGGCCACCGTATACGACTCTGCAGGTCGAATTGAGAACACGTTTCGTGGAGGAAATTGTTCGCAGATCTAGTAAGTCACGCCTACTACCTAGGTATACCTAGCAATCCTGCAAACATCATGCTTTTGCCCTTTCTCCATCAAACCTTGGAGGTCTTATCCCAGGTAGTATGGTCTGGCGTAAATTTTCTTAGTTGTTAACCATGTCTTAGCTACCAAACTCGCTACACGGTGCTTAAGACGACGCAAGGAATAAATCAGCCACCGAATTTAACGCCTAAGCCACAAGGTCAGGTGTACTGGTATCACGACTACGTTGTCAATCCAACCAACGTTCCGAGCAACATCCCGTGCGATAGTCAGAGGAGGGGCTGAACACGGTAGAGAGATGGTAGTTTAGTCTTGGTGGGCGTGACATTGGGACGAGTAAGAACGTTTGTGGACGGTCAAACTAAACTCCGTCCATTTCATACTCTATCTAGATAAGATAGCACTTCATTCAGAATGTCCCTTGCAGTCGGAGATCGCTCCGTCATGATGGGGTGTGCAGAAATATCGCTGTGGTGGACCTTCACCCTCCCGTGGCCTCTCCACCCAGCAAAAAAAACCCTGGGGTATCTGACAAAGTCAGACGAATGCTGATCAGAGTGGGACTCGAACCCACGCCACTTTCGTGACCAGGAATAATTGTTAAGAGTAACCTTAACCTGGCGCCATAACCAACTCGGCCATCTGACCGAAGACTTGATGGAGAGACGGTCAATAAAGCATAATATATCCGTCTGACCCACAGAGAAAGCGAGTTCACATTCGATTACTTCTCATGCACTTGTGCAGTAGTCTCATGGCCACTACTGCGTTGTGTGCAAATTTTACTTGGTTCTGATAGCGGGGCCTCAGAACGAATTGCTTATTCCAACCAATCACGTCCACTGAGACGACGCGTAACCGGGCGTGATACCCATCCGAAGTCAAGACGGCCTTCCTTTACATTATAGAGTACCATTGTGAGCTCGCTATACCTATGGTATGTACTATTAAAGGTACCAGGCTATGGTACACTGACTCCAGCCTGTTATTCATCGAACACTTTGAAGACTTCAATCATTTTCTCAACTCAACTTCGTTGACCTATGATTCGCTTCAAGATCTGCGCTCAGATCCGACAAGCATGATTGCGCAAGTGCGCACTGCGTTCAACAGTCAGCTCACTACCTTCCTAATGTGGCATATTGCGTTGTCTCGGAGGCCACAACCCAGCCACAAGATTCTTTTCCCTGTTCCATGTTGTCACGTAAGGTGACGTACATTCAACATGATCTACAGTTGATGTTCACCAGTAGAGATGCGTTCCAAATGTCAGCCACTTCGACATCGACGCTTGGACCGCGCACTACCATGAACGTGCCCAGGTGTGCTGCGCCTCCCGCAAGATGCATGTGTTCACCGCCGAACATCACACAGCCACCCTTTTCCTGCAGCAACCCAGCTAGCATGTGCTTCGTGACCTTCACCACCCCGCAATGAGATGGACATGCGCAGATGCCGCCATCAGTCGCCGATAGAGCGCCATGACGTATTGGCCCATCTCGTCGCCCTCTGTGTTTGCGGCCACCAAACACGCGAACCATGAGCGAAGCAATGTTTCGCATGATGGATTGGAGGAGCGCAAGGAAACAAATGGGCACCAAGATGGTTCAGTGAATGGGTTGCATACACCAGTGAAAGATGGAACAACCACCCGAGGCGTTGGCAGTGCGGAAAGGACGAATGGCGCACATCCAACGCATCAGAGCGCGTCCGAGCAGTTGGTAGAAGATGATATACATGGCGAAATCATTGCGATACGAGTTGCAAGGAACGGCCACGTATTTGCGACTCTTACTCGCTCGACTTTGACGATCTGGCAGACGAAGGCATGTCTTCATCTGTTGTGCCAATGCGTTCGTACTGATGGTGTATATAGCCCACCGTGGTATTGGCTTCCGTATTGCGCTCGCAACAATCGGTAAAGACGTACGGCCCAAACACAGACATCCTTCTCCGTCCCGACTCGCAAATCTTCGTTATCCAAACTACGCTCGGTTTCTTGATCACATACTCGCTTGCGACAGACCACTCCTCGCGCGTGTACCGAACACAGTTCACCAATACGCATGGAGGACACTCGAGGAAAAGCAGCGCCATATCAGGCTTCAAGATACAGCGCCAGCATGATACCAATGCAGGGCCCGGTGAAAGTAGTGGCTTCAAGGAGCTCAGCCTACGCTTCAGGATGGTAATACGTGTGGACGCTGGAATCGTTAGGGCGCTCGCTCTGGACGACGAGTTGATCGTCGCCACCGAGAAACCGGCAGCCGTACAGTGTATCCGCTGGGCACCAGACAGTACCGGGAGTCAGACCAGTACAGAGCTGTTGAGCAAGATGGCCTGGCTGGGTCCAAAGGCAACACTCTGTGACTTGGTCCATGACCGGCCAATGAACTTGTCGTGCTGGGTGACGGGAGAGGGGCAAGCTTTCGCTGTCCAACGAAATGCTAAGAGAGGAGGTAGCGCGGCTTCAGGCCTCTTCCGTGGCTATGGCTTCCACAAGCCCAAGAACGATGCTGAACACAGTGTAAAGGCTGCAATCAATGCCAGATTCTCCCTACTCGCCGTCGGCTGTACCAATGGCGAAATATACGTGTACACGGCTCGAGACTACACCGGGAACATACCGCTTTCGCACAGGCTACAGCCCAATACCAGCTCACCAGGAAAGCTTACTGTCCTTGCGTACTCGCCAGACGGCTATTGCCTCTTCGCTGGCTATGAGCGTGGGTGGGCGATGTGGAGCGTGTACGGCAAGCCTGGGGCTACCAGTTTTACCACTGACCGAGCCCTGTCCGAAACAAACGGCGAAGGTTGGCTTCTTGGTGTACATGATGCATTTTGGATTGGTGGAGGTGCAGAGCTTCTTCTACTAAACCATAACGATAACCGCCTGTTCGTGATCGAAATGGCAAGGAGCGCAGTCACGGGCTGCTTCTCATCCGCGAACATCTCACGTTCATTGATGCAGACGAGCACGGGCTTCATGATATATCGCGGTTACGACCTGCCAGATCTGACCACCATCTCTGCCGACGTCTCCCTTTGGCATCAAGTTCAGGTTCCTACCTACTACCTCGTCGATCAGTGGCCAATTCGATGCGCGGTTATATCCAACGACGGTCGATACGTTGCAATCGCCGGTAAAAGAGGCCTTGCCCATTACAGCGTCAACAGTGGGCGTTGGAAGATCTTCGACGACCCGATAATAGAGAACGAGTTCACAATAAGAGGAGGCATGTGTTGGTTTCAGCACGTTCTCATTGCTGCTGTAGAGTGTCACGACTCGCACGAGGTACTTCGTTCTCATGTCCCTATGGCCCAGAAACTGACATTTTCTAAAGATTCGTATATATTCCCGCGAGGCTGCACTCGACAACAGCCATATCATGCATGTACAGAAACTACCCGCACCGATTGTCCTCATCGCACCTTCAGGAGAAGACTCACTTCTTGTCTATACATACGAGAACATCCTGTATCACTATGTGATCAATGTCGCAGATGCTGCTGTCAAACTTATTCAGGTTGGACAGATTGCGCTACACGGCATCATCCGAGCTCCACCGCGTGTACGAGCTTTGAGCTGGATCTTGCCTGAAGACCAGATTCGTAAGAGTCCTACATTTTCTGAGAGGCATTCGCTAACGACATCGCAGATAACGGAGACCCGTCGCAGGATGTCGCAGTCGCAACCATCCTGTTCCTTGTCGATGGTAAACTAGTACTACTCCAGCCTACTACGACTGAGGGCGGCGAGCTGAAGTACGAGATGCGTATCATCGCACAAAACGTGGAGACGTATGCGTTGATACGTGACCATCCTGCATTCGCACTAGACGTACATGCCGACATTCTACCACCCAGTCCGTCTATAGGTCTGACAATGGAAGAGGTACATGGTCACGACCTGCGGGATTCCCTATGGTATTTTGACGGACAGGATATGCGAGTCTGGATTGACATGCAAGACGTTTTATCATCAGCCTCTGCAGAGCTTGGCCGAGACTTACCCACACCTGTCAAGATACCCATCGATTTCTATCCGCTGTCGGCACTCATTAACAAAGCCATCATCTTTGGCGTGGAATCGGAACTGATTCAACGCAGGGACACGAGCTTCGCCTTCCTGCGCTTCGGCACACGGGTAAGTTGGTGCTACATCCAGACGAAACTCCGGCCCGCATTAAGCTCAGCTGCTGACATGCATCATAGACGCACCTCTTCCTTCCCGCTCTATTGCGCTACCATCTAGCCCAGTACAATCACCCTGCAGCCCTGCATTTGAGCCACCATTATCAGCAATTACTGTACTTTCCCCATGCCCTGGAAATCTTACTGCATGAGGTCTTGGACGAAGAGGTCGACACGCAGCCGCCACCAGAGCAAGCATTGCTGCCGAGCGTTCTTTCATTCCTAAGTTCATTCCCACAATACCTTGAAATTGTCGTGCAATGTACACGTAAAACAGAAGTCCGCTCTTGGCGGACTTTATTCTCAAACCTTCCACCACCCGAAGAACTCTTCGAAGAGTCGCTACATAAGGGCAATCTCAAGACTGCAGGCGGGTATCTCCTCGTACTCCATACCTTCGAGGAGCTTCGACCAACAGGCGACCAGGTGGTTCGCTTACTTCAACGAGCAAAAGATGAGCAGGACTGGGAGCTCTGCAAAGAGCTTGCACGCTTTCTCATGGCACTAGATGAGTCTGGCGCAACGCTGCGAAGTACGCTAGAGCGTGTGGAGCTCAAGTCGCCATCAACAGAGCCGGTGGCTGGGCAGTCTCATTTCACTTTCGACACTACGCGACTGAATGTACCTGTTCCCGGCCGAGGACGAAGCAACGGCTTCAAAATAATTGATGGTGTTGGGCTAGAGTCTGGATCTGATGATGGCCGAAACCCAATATCAGGAGAAAGTGACAGCATAAGTCCCGGAATGGGTGGTTTGAGCCCAGGAAGTGTGACTGCTCCGCGAGAATCCAGTGATTACTTCGGGCTTGGATAGAGGCCAATACAATGGCACATTTGCATGGAGTCAAAGAGAGATAGCTTTGGTTACGCTATAATATCATTGAACGTCATAGCATGCTGTGCAGTGGCGAACGAACGTGGCTACGAATCTTACCTGTATTCTGCAGTCTTTGACGATGGTAGTGTTGGTTACTTGAGTTTCAACAAGCTCGCCTGAACGAAGCGCTGGGTTCGTATACCACCCGCAGGGCTGCTGACATGATTGATGGGCGAGCGCGATAAGACGCTTGATTGGTGGACTGCTTAGATGCATCGTTGGGTCCAAGTCAACCTTACAGCTATCGCCGTACGATTTTGCAGCCCTTCGACATACTTTGCACAATCCTAGAGAGGTTGCCTTCTACTGGCACGCCCCTTTGGCTGGCCAAGAGCCGAGCATCTGTTGGTTCCCTTTTTGCAGTCACAGTGGAGGATCCCTATGCAGTGTATAGTGGTGTGACGAAACGGTTCTTGTGTAGCGGAGAATAAAGCAGCTGAACGCGCAGCCCTTGTCAGGCATGCAAGCTTAACTTACGTCCATGGGTCAACCAATCGTTGCAGGCCGGGTTAGCAGATACGGCCTCGCATCGTCAACGCTGTGGAACTGCAACCGGGCGGTGAGATTCGCTTGAGCTT